GAGAATTATATTAAGTGAAACAAGTCAGGCACAGGAAAAGAAATATCACATGTTCTCACTTATTTGTGGGAGCTAAAAATAAATAAATAAATACACACAAATAAACTGGGGTGGGGGAGAGGAGAGAAGACACAACAATTACAATTCCTTGAAGTTATACGACAAGCAAACAGAAAAGACATTGTTGGGAGGGAGGGGGGGAGAGGGAGGGGAGAGGGAGGTTTCGGTAATGGGCCACGGTAATCAACCACATTGTATATTGACAAAATAAAATAAAATTAAAAAAAAGAAATTTTCTCACACTTCTCTCAACAGACAACAATTTCACGAGGAATAAAATGGTTTACTGTTGTTATCATTGCTTACTGCTTTGGGGGAGGTTATTGTCAGGAAACTAAGATGCGTCACAAATTATTTTGCGTGTAGTGTGCCTGTGAGAGAGAATTGAAAAGCGTAAGCTATTTGTTGCTTTTAACATTAGTAAATAGGGTTTTTCATGATGTGCTACCTTTTTTTGTTGTTGCTTTCAGGTAAACCCAGATATCTTTGTGTAACACAAATTGACAACAAATCCTTAATCCGTTCTTTATTTGATTTATTTTTATTGAATAAAATGTTCTCTAAGACAGAGAAAAAAAGATAGTATGAATCCTTCCATGATCTTTTTGAAGTGCCCTCATGTACACACACACACACACACACACACACACACACACACACACACAAAGGTATTTCAAAATGTTTGTGGAAAAATAGAATTAAAAGATAATACAAATCTTTCTATAAACTTTTGAAGACCCCAAAAATATATGTGTGTGTGTATATATAATTTTTAGGTGACATCTTTGCTAGGTCAATTAAATATAGGTCTCACTGACAATAGGTTAGACTCTCCTGAGCACTGTCAGAATCATCATGGTTGAAGAGTATTCAGAATTTTCTGCTATGTGTCCAGCAGTTAGTTGTCTTGGACAACGTTTTTGGCACCTTACTAGGGAAATCTCAGGAGTGTCTGAGTGAAGGAGGTGACAGAAAGTGTCCTGTGTTGAGAAGCTGAAAAAGACCATTGACACTCAAAGTCCTGTGCAGTTCCATGTGGTTCCAGCCATCTGTGGTGAGGGGATTCTTTAGCCACATTCCAGATACTCATGATACTACCACTTTTTTCTTTAAAATATGAGAAGACTAAAAGTTTTCTTCTGAGACTGTCTAATTCTATCAAAAGATCAGGAGGAGAAAGAAAGACGTGGTCATCTCGGGTCTTTGCATGAGTTGAACTGTGTCCCCTCCAAACTCATATTTTGAAGTCCTAATGCTCAGTACCTGAGAATATAAACTTATTCATAGATAAGGTCAATATGACGAGTGTCCTCATAAAAAGGGGAGAATTGGACACAGCGACACACAGAGAGAAGATGACATGAAGAGACATAGGGACAAGATGGCCATCTACATGCCAAGAAGACAGGCTTGGAACATTCTTTCCTTACAGCCGTCAGAAGGAACCACTTCTTCCAACACCTTGATTTTGGACTTATAGCCAACAACTGTGAGACAATAAACTTCTGTTATTTAAGTCACCCAGTCTGTAATATTTTGTTACAGCAGCCCTAGCAAACTAACATAGGTTTATATATTTTATCATTTTACTTATCACTGTAGAATTAATATACACTCACAATCAGAGACAGAGTCATTTATGGACACTGTGGCTTTGCTGGGCTCGCCGAGGGCTGCATTCATAGGCATACGAAGCACCAGTTCAAATCTCTCAATTCCTTCCAGCACTGGTTGTCCAAGACGACACACAGAGAGAAGATGACATGAAGAGACATAGGGACAAGATGGCCATCTACGTGCCAAGAAGACAGGCCTGGAACATTCTTTCCTTACAGCCCTCAGAAGGAACCACTTCTTCCAACACCTTGATTTTGGACTTACAGCCAACAACTGTGAGACAATAAACTTCTGTTATTTAAGTCACCCAGTCTGTAATATTTTGTTACAGCAGCCCTAGCAAACTAATATAGGTTTATATATTTTACCATTTTGCTTATCACTGTAGAATTAATATACACTCACAATCAGAGACAGAGTCATTTATGGACACTGTGGCTTTGCTGGGCTCGCCGAGGGCTGCGTTCATAGGCATACGAAGCACCAGTTCAAATCTCTCAATTCCTTCCAGCACTGGTTGTCCAAGGTCATCGAGAATGGTAACACGAAGAGTCTGCATGTTGACTCCAGGTGCAAAATCTAAATTACGACTGATGCCCACATAGTCTGCTCCAGCTGTGACAGTAACAAAAGGATTATTCAGTTGGAGACTGAGCAAATTAAAAAAAAATTACAAGAAATAAATTATGCATTTATAATTCTTGTTGTAAGAAAATAGAGAGCAACATAACACTATAGAAAAGTACATTTAATGAAATGCAAAAGATTAGTATCTCCATGATTACTGATGTGGTAGACCAAAGATCAGGTTCTAAACTCTGTGTCTAATGGCTGGACTTTGGATTAGGTATTTTAGCCTTCTGTGTTTACCGTTTCTTCATGTTTATTTTGGAATTCTGTAATGGAGCTAATAAAAATCAGGTCTAGAATAAACAGCAGATCGATCGAATGTATGATTGTTATAAGTTATATATAAATATATACATTTAAAACTTTGTTAACATTAGTCAGATATCTATATTCCTTTTCTGGAACCACTAGAGAACATTTTGTTTAGGTGTGTGGTTGCCTGTTCGTTAAAGCAACACATTTCAGGTATAAACTTCTGTCGCACATGCCCACCCTCACATACCCCAGGCAAGGAGAGCCACCTTCTATTTTCAAAGACATATTTAATCTTTAGTTTAATATTTTCAGACCAAGGGATACATATCTAGTGTCGATACCTCCATTTATATCTAGAGCAGTTAAAAACTAAACTGTCTTTTAATCTTAGTCCTGACATACTTAAAGACTGAGAGTGGGGAGATATTTCTATATTATTGCTTCTTTCTTTGTTTTTGTAACTTTTGCTCCACTGACTCTCATTTTGTATCTACTTTACCTCTAAATATGCAACTATAGTGCGCCGCTTGGGAAGCGCGGCGGCGCTCCCGTCCGAGGGTTCGGATCCCACATACAGACCGCCTCCAGCTCACTGGCTGAGCGAGGCGCGGGAGCAGCACCGAGGCTTGCGATCCCGTTGCCGGTCCCCGGTCCGGTACGGGGGCAACACTGAGGGTTGCGATCCGTTGCCTTTTTGTAACTTTTGCTCCACTGACTCTCATTTTGTATCTACTTTACCTCTAAATATGCAACTATGCTTGAGTGTATCTTTGAACATTTTAGAAAACATCTGTATCTCACTGTAAATAAATAAATAAATATGCAACTATGCTTGAGTGTATCTTTGAACATTTTAGAAAACATCTGTATCTCACTGTAATTCTTTTTATACTTTTCTTTCCCTCTTCTTCTTCCCCTTTGTTCTCATTTATCTCTCTCATCACCCCCCATCTCTGATTTGAATTTTTCTCTTAAAAATGACTAATTTGGGTGAACAAATGTTTATTGGGCACCTAGCACATGCAAAGCACTATGCTGGGTCCATTACATTAAAAAAGTTAAAACCTTAGGGTGACTTTTAAAATGGTATGACCCCTGCTTGCTTTGTGTGATGAATGTGTAATGTGTGTATGACATATGTGTGTGCACACACATGTATGTACACAAGAAAGAGAGTTTGTATTATTGGTCATTTCAAAAAAAATTTTTTTTGAGTCCTATACTTACTTTAAACTTTATAATCAAGTTTCTGGAGATGTAGATCTTAGAAGAAAATGCGGGCATGCGCTAGCTAGGATAGTTTGTATACTGAAGTGTGGGAAAAGCCTTTTGGATCTGAAGTATTTATGGAGTCAATTGATTAAAATGAGGAGGAAGACAGTTGGAGATGGATATCTGCATGATACTCAAATGTCATTACATTTCCGAGAGGGCGGTCAGCATAATTATTCTTGTTTATATGTTATAACTTTCAACAATATTAGACTTACCAAGAGTAGAGAACCAAATCACGCAAACATAGGCATTAGAATTTAGTTTCTGAGTCTTACATTTGTTACCTAGCCTCTGATTCACGGCCCTTAAATGTACTTTCCCACAGTAGTGTATGAAGCCAAGATTTATCTACTACACTAATAATTTCAGAAAAAAATTCATTAGCCAGACTGCTTGAATAGGAATGAAGTATTCCAGTTTTAAAGCATTTTGTGTCATGGGAGCTGAAAATTGCAGAACAACGAAAAGAGCTGATGCAGGAAACTGCTCACCTTCTGCAGAGGGAGGATCTGTTTTCCGAGACCTCACCATGACACTAGAAGACCTGGACAGGTCAGTGCCCGTTCTCCACACCTGCACCTCCACGTAGCCGGCACTCTCGTCCACAGAGTACTTGACGTCACCAAAGTAGAAGACGGGTTCTGTTAAGAATGAAGCAGAAAACATTTCTGTTATTTTTATTTTCTCACATCAAACTCTATTGACATGATTCCAAAGAGGAGTTAGCTTTATCTTATGGATTTCCTTATATCATTTTTTTTCCTTTTAGTGAGATAACATTTCTTTAATCTGTAAATTTATATAGTTTTCAAGTAAAAATACCACTGCTTAAAAACAAAAATACATATGGTAAAGTATCTAATGGAATATTCTCATCCTAAGGCATGAGAATTAGTTTGTCCCCATATGTGGGATTATAAATGGCTTCTAAATGTACCTCCTGGGAACTTAGCTAGAAAAATGGAACCAAATACAACTAACCACATAAGTCTAAATTTTTTAAAGTTTGGCCTGACCACTCATTTTATTATTTCCTACCAAGTTTCCACTCTAGAACAAAGATACAGCTATTTGCATTACACTATCTTCTAGTCCATTAGATTTGGGTTTAATCCAGTGTATTTTGGTCTGTTATAACTACTAGGGTTAAACCTATTGGCTTACTAGAATGAATATATATGATTACCAGTCCTAAAGACTTTGGGGAGACCAGGGCCTGATTTCAGGTTACCAGTAGAGTTTTGGGGATGCTCTATACCAACTGAGGTTTCACTAAATAAATAATCTTGTAACAAGAGCTTAACATTTATCCTAAATACGTATGAAAATGATGCAACTTAGGTCACAAAACTAGGGTACAGTCTTTGGGGACTTTGCATTTTTCTTTAAATTTGCATGGATCTAATCATTGTTTCCTCTCTGATTCTACCTGTGACCAACAATTTATCTCATGATATAGCTATTAGAAGTCTGAGGTATGGCAGACAGCTGACTAATGGAAAAACCTGAGGGGTAATTTGTGAGCTCACTTTTTTTTTAAAAAAAGAGCTTATTTAAAAATATATATAGGTTTACAGAAAGTTGCAAACACAGTGGATAGAGTATCTGCTGTACCCACTGTGAGCATATTTTATAAACAATCATTAACAAAGATAAATTAATTGAATGTACACACATAAGGTGAACAGCCCTTTGGAGATATTCTGGTTGTGTCTCTGGTTTTACAAGATTTAAAAGGACTGAATCTAAAAGGACATGCAATTCACATCACTGTTCCTTAAAACACAAGGCCATTAAAGAGATGATGTCATGTTTCAGAGCATCTAATTGAATTCACAAGCAAAATCAGGCAAAACTCTACAACAATGGCTCAGAAAGCCATTTGGAGAGGCCAAAGAAATCTATCTTGCACACTGCTCAAGTTCTTTATTTTCCTGCCCCCAAACTAGTTACCTTTATTAAAACTGGAAGTTTGTTTTCTTGTTTCTAAGCATATATAGCTCTCCTGAACTCTTGAATGATACAAAACCAACCTTGGAAATTATGCATATTTCGGTTCAGGGGGTGATGAATCTGCCTGCGGCAGAGTTCCCCTCCTTCACATCTTTTCAACTTGGAAGGTGCTGGGGTATGTGAGTGTATGTGAGCAGACAAAGGTGTTGTCTTACTCACCTCAGTCAAAGCAGACCTCAGCTACCAGCCAATAAATTCCTTACATTTCTCACAAGTAAGTAGGGGGCAAAGGTGAGGACAGCCCTAAAAATGGGTATTCTGACCAGATGGCCAAACCCAGCACTTCTGTATATCTTTTAAAAGGCTTTTATAATTATCATGGAGGCTGCCTAAGCTGCATCCAACAAGTGATCTCTCCAAATCTCTTCACATTCCCAGCAAACCATATCATTACACAAATTAGGGTTCTGAGTTACGGGAGAGATCTGTATATCTTTTAAAAGGCTTTTATAATTATCATGGAGGCTGCCTAAGCTGCATCCAACAAGTGATCTCTCCAAGTCTCTTCACATTCCCAGCAAACCATATCATTACACAAATTAGGGTTCTGAGTTACGGGAGAGAGCTGTGAAATGCAGTAAGGGAGGGCCTCCTAATTAGTAATGACACCTCCTGTCTTCCCATCTCCCTGCTCCTCACAGATACGTGCTAGAAATGGAACAGAATGAAATCTTGTGAATACAACTGTTAAACACCAAATAAGCTACACATCACAGGCAAAATTATGTTTTACGTGTGTGTCCAGATTCATTCTGAAAACTATAGAACAAGTGTTTTTGCTTTACAGCTTAATGTGTAGTTCATATAAGAAAATAAATGGGAGTTCTATGTACTACACTAAAAATTTTTACCTAAGTTGCTATTCAGAATGAAAAGTAATGATAATAATTACTATACATAAACATGTGTGCTTTATATGCANTATTCAGAATGAAAAGTAATGATAATAATTACTATACATAAACATGTGTGCTTTATATGCATGTGCGTGTGAGTGTGAGCATGTCAGAGGGAGAGAGAGGGAGAGGTGAGGACAGCATGGCACATGTAATGATGCCATTAATAAAAGCTATGTGAATAGTGGAAGCGGTATTACCATATTGCTTATTGTATAGTACATTGTTACCTCCAGTGGAAAGAAGGGGAATGGAAACAGGTTTTTAATCCTAAATCCCTCAATTTTTATAAAGCAGCTAATAAGAGTTAGAAAAGTTAATTAACTACTTCCTTAGAAGATTATCAGTAGATCTAAGTTATTTATATGATTTGTTTCCCTCTCTGTTCCACCCATGATGACTGGAAAAATGGTCAAATAAAATAATCAATTGCAATCATTACAGTTAAAGTTTGAATGGTTAACTATTATGAATTAAAACACAATTCAATAGTTTCTACAATAAAAAAAAAAAAAAGAAAACTTGTTTACCTAGTTTCTTGTGCCATGAATAAAAATAAATAGCTGGATATCAGCATCTTTGTATCTT